AGATCTACACAAGCCCCTGTGATACAGCTGAAAGCTACTTGAGGAGTTCTCTGTCTGTACTTTCCTTTGGGATAAGTCTTGGAAGTCAAAGAAGCATGGTGGAAGATTACCTTGTGCCTGTACTGCTTACCACTGCTGCTATAATCCAAGTGTTACAGGACTGGTTCAGCATGAGAAAATTGAGCCTGGAAGTTTTGGCAGATTCTAAATTACTGAACTTGAGATGCTGTGCAGAGAGTGCATCCTTGTCCTAATGCAGTGCTAGAAGAAGAATGAGAGTGGAATCACAGATCAGAACTGGTGGAACTGTTACACCAATATTGGCTCTTGGTAACCACAACTCTCCATTCTTGATCCCTAATGTATCAGATACCTTCACCAAAAGGCTCCACCAAAAACAAAGGCAAAAAAAGAGAAAAGGGGGGGAGGGTTACAGAGAAACAACTATGCTTTAAGCTTAAAAAATAATCTTACAAAGGAAGCACCACTAGCCTTTTGCACAGTGGGACAATTATTTGCACCATAGCATTTACACATAAAGGTTTGCAAACCTTTGTTGTAGATCTTTGAAAGATCTTCTTTCATGTTTTGCCAAAACAATTTAGTTGCTATTTGAATGTGAAAGAGATCTACCATTAGATATCAAAAATGTAGACTCAGTTGCTACCACAAAGGTTAAGAAATCATTCTGTATAAGGTGGTCCCTCACTTCCTCAGGAATTTCAGCAACACAGTCATTGAAGTGGCTTGTAGCCTTTCCAAGGCCATTAGAGTATCTGCCAGTTTTAATGAAAATTTCAACTTGTGTATCTAAAGCAATAGAAGGAAAAGTATTAAGGTTTATTTGTTCCAGTTTAATAACAAGATACCCCAAAATGAGAAAGTGTGATGATGGTATTTTTGTGCACTCTGGACATACTGACCTACTTAAGGCAAACTGTTTTCTACCTTTACTTGATCAAAGTGTTGTATTCACAAATACAAGTGTATGAAATATAGAAAAATATTCCTCTGCTGAACCTAACAGTCCCTACCTGTCTACGTACAGATGCAGTGCTACCTGAGAGATTTTATGCAGAAGTAAAATGTCAGCAAGCAAGAAATGGTCTACAGGCACTGCAGGTGAGGTGGCTTAAGTGTGTTCTCCTTTATGCTGTAGTTTAAAAGGCAAGGGCAGTGACTGTGAGAATGAGGGAAATTCTTTCACATAATTAGCCAAGCCAAAAAAACAAATTGGTTTTGTAGAAAGCAATAGAAAATGTTTATCCCAGATTGTTTTTCTTCTCTGGTTACTCACACCAGCTCTAGAGGACTGCAGCAGCCAAGTGGACTGATAGCAAAGGGTGGCAGTGGTGTTAAGTCTGCCTGACCTGTTGTTACTTTGTGAAGCCATGCAGCAGAAGGTGCTTTCCCAAAAAGCATGCTCTAGCTGCCCAGACCTCACCATTTCCACATCATGCAGCACCATGGTCAAATGCTTTGCTGAGTACTGCAATACCAAGACTTAATGTCATTACAGATTTGAAGTATAGTTACACAGGACAAATAACAGTCTTAATAAACTTCCTCTCATGTACATGGTCTTTATACACGCACCCCCTCTTGGAAGGTATTCTGTCTCCACATATTAACAAGTATGTCTTAACTGTTGTCATCGGGTGCAAATTTTCCATTACGTACACAGTCTCAGACTGGCCTGGGTAGCAGCTGTTGTGAACTTCTTGTGGCCACTTCTTGGAAGCATTTGGGAACATGGCATATTTAAGAGCAAGTGTTATCTTGCATTCTCTAGGCTACGCCTAGAATTGAGGCTATACATAAACCTAGATAAACATCAGGTTTGTCTAAAGTCAGTATTTAAATATTCCCTGCAGCTGAATCTGAACTTCAGCTTCTTGTGTACTAGCACAGAGTAACATAAACGTTGTCTACTTAAGATGACTTCTTGTCACTCTGTTGTGAAAGTGTAGTATTTGTTCAGAGTTCTGACAACACTAATAATTCACCTAGGACTAGAAGTACAAAAATGTCTAGAGAAAAATATGTATGTTTCAGTAGCTGTGTTTGCAGAAACAGTGTAAAAATTACTTTGGCTAATTAATTTCATATACAGAACCTGGAGCTTAAAGAAACAGTGTTCATAAATCCATTCACAACAAAGAAGAGATGAGACTCCCATTCCTGGGGAGAATACAAACCACAAAAGTTAAAATAAACTCCTGCTAACCCAGAGATCTCTGCCCAAGTAATCTCAGTTAAAAAAACCCAACCAACCAACAAACCAACCAACCAAAAAAACCCCACCCACAAATGAGGAAACAGCTGCAAATTACCCTTTCCTTTTCAGGACTGTCAGTTTTAGAGATGGCCAATTAAGTCCAGCAATTATTCATACATTTCAGACATCTAAAAGTATGTCCAGGACCGTAAGAATTACCACTTTCACCTGTTCTTCAAATGGACTGTCTTACATCAGTGGACATGAAGCACAAAATGAACCATGTAATACAATGCTGATAACTTTATATGGACTTGTGCTAAGCAGGATGTTTAGGTCAACAGATCTATCTGTTGGAAGCAACAATCTCCAAGCCAAGTATCGCAACACTCCTTCAGCTTCCAGACAACATATTTGCTGAACTGCTCCCTAGCTGGCAAATACAACTTCTCAAGCCTGGACAATTACAGGCCACAAATACCATAACCTGCAGTAAGTAGCCACCTCTCTCTCACTTCCTGTTACCCTAATTCCCTGAGCCTGAATGCCCCCTCAACCTGCACTGCAGCTACTCCCCATGCTTTTGCATCTGGCTGCCTCATTTTCTGCACACTGCTTTCCATAATCCACACAGAATGATCCAGGCTGGAAAAGACCTCTGAGATCAAGTCCAGCCTTTAACCAATCACCACCTTGGCACTAAGTGCCACATTGGAACACAACACCTTCAGGGATGGCGACTCCACCACCTCCCTGGGCAGGGAATCCACTCCAATGTTTCACGCTTTCTGTCAAGAGATCAGAATGTCTGACCTGAATCTCCCCAGGCACAGCTTGAGGCCATGGTCCTTTTGTATCACTTACTGTCTGGGAGAGGAGACTTAACTCCCAGTTCTCTACAGCCTCATTCAGGCACTTGTAGAGCAATGCAGTCACCCCTTTTCTCCAGGCTAAACCCCCTCAGCTCCCTCTGACATCCCACACAGGGCTTATGCTCCAGACCCTTCCCCAGCTCCATTGCCCTTCTCTGGACACAATCCAGAGCCTCAATGTCTTTCTCAAACTCACGAGCCCAAAACTGGACACAAGATTCAAGGTGTGGCTCTCCAGTGCTGAGTACAGCAGAACAATCACTGAACTTGCTGGCCACACTATCCTTGATCCAAGCCAGGCTGCCACTGGCCTTTTTGGCTACCTGGGCTCACTCCTGGCTCATGTTCAGCTTGTGGACCAGCATCCCAGGTCCTTTTCTGCCAGGGAGCTTTCCAGCCATTCTGCCCCCAGCCTGTAGCACAGTCTGGGGTTGCTGCGACCCAAGTGCAGGACTTGACACTTCACCTTATTGAACCTCTGCCCATCAATCCAGCCAGTCCAGAACGTTCCTACTCTCCTGCAGAACACTCCCACCCATCTTGGCATCACCTGCGAGCTTGCTAAGGGTGCACTCAATCCCCTCATCCAGATCACTGATAGACATGGAAAGGACTGGCCCCAGTGCCAAGTCCTTGGGAACCTCTTGAGACCAGCCAACCGCTGGATGTGGCACCATTCCCCTCCACCCTCTGGGGCCATATATCCAGACTGTTTTTTTATTCCCCTCCACCCTCTGGGGCCATATATCCAGACTGTTTTTTTATTCAGTGAAGAGTGCACCAGACCAAACCACAGGACTGCCACCTTTTCCAGGAGAATGCCATGGGAAACAGTATCTATCACAGGCCTTGCTGCAGTCCAGGTAGGCAAGATCCACAGCCTTTCCCTCTCCCACTACATGGGTCATGGGATGAGATCAGGCAAGTCAGGCAGGACTTGCCTTTCCTAAACGCAATGCTGCTGGGGCCTGTTTCCTTGGTTGTCCTGTGTGTGTGATGGCACCCAAGATAGCTGCTCCATAACCACCCTGGGCACCAAGGTCAGGCCAATAGGCCTGTAGCTCCCTGGATCCTCCTTGCAGTCCTTGTGCCTGGATGTCACACTGGTTAACCATGTTTTGAATGAACAAAACCAAAATTAAATATACTGACAGTTCTTTATCTTGAGATACTGGGACTTTGGTTTAGAGAAAACAATTTTCCTAACATTTCCTCATTTGTCTGGATCACCAATAAATACTGATAAATTCATCAGAATTGAAAGATTTGGCTTCAGTGTTTCAGCTACTCTGCTTTCAATTTACTAAGAATTTTCAATTGCAATTTATGGATAAGACATCATGGATTCAATGGTATTGAGCAATAACCAGTTAGAACTTGTTTTGTCACCAATTTCTCCTGGCATATTCTATCAAACTTTTAAGATTTGTGCTGGTGTTTCTATTAACTAGTTGTTATTAGTTGCTGGTATTAACACTCAGAAAGAGCTAATGCAATTACATTTGATACACTTACACTTCTTAAAATCATGACAAACTCTTTCGCTGGCCTTCCCTGACAATCAGGATGAAAATTTGCTGCAAGGGCTTTGTGGCTGTATTCCTTTTGCTGTGGCAAACATCAACATTCACACAGCCACTTGCCAGAAAACTAAACAAAGTCAATAGTGTTTCTCTTATTCAACCATCTCACCACAACTCCAGCAAGTGACAAGGATGGCACAAGATAAAGCTGGACTACCCACCCTGCTTAGCCACCCCATATAACCACATACTGATTCTCACAAAAGACAAAGCTCCTGAAAGACAGGTAAAAGCCGACTTTATTATCCACATCCCGGTATCAAGTATTGCTTAAACTACATTCCAAAGTGACACAAGATGCAGAATGAAAGACAAGAAACCACATTATCAGTGGACTTAACTTTTATTGAGGGGGGAAAAAAGGTTTACATGTAGCTGTAGGTTTTTTCATTCATACTTCCAAAAGTTCAAAAAGGACTGGAAACAAAACTTGCTCCATCATTATTTCAATACCAAAAAGTTGGCCATTTTTTTTCTTTCATGAACAGCAAATTATATAACTAATTGCTATGTTCAATAAATATTTTTTTCTCCTGCACCAATTAAGGGGAAATAATCAATGAAGTACCACAAAGACCCCAGGAATTTAACAATTTTAATTTCAACTGTTATCCACTGTGTAGCAATCCAGAAACATTTTTCTATAAAACACACAGCCTTAATTTTGAGTGTACAAGGATCTATTCTCCCAGTCAGTCAAATACCAAACTCTGATCTAGCCCAAATAGTCTACTTTCAAAGCAACTACTTGACAAAAAAAAAAAAAAAAAATTCTCTGGTTCATGACTAGCTAAGCAAATTCATCATTACAGAAAAGACTCAAAGTCATTACATGTTTATCAAAGTAATAGGTAAACATTTTAACAGAAAGATTAACAAGCTACTTGGAAATGCAAATTCATGTTAAAATATCCGAGTGTGTATACTACATATGACATGCAAGCTTTAAAAATATCAATGCTCTCTTCTGATTAGTCAGGAGTCCAACTGTTTTAGAAATAAAATAGGAATGACTTCCAAAATGTATCAGCACTTTGGGGCTCTCTATTTTTTTCAAGATGTCTTACTACACAAAAACTACAACAATTACAATATTTAAGAGTATTACAATAAGAAGGGATGGAAAATAGGAATACTTCAACTGAAAATATGTATATTCTAAATGAACCAAAGATGTGTGAAAGAGCTGGAAGGAGGACAAGAAAGGGAAGTTGGAAGGGAAAGCAGTAGGGATGCTAAAGTTCTGAACTTTGTATTCAAAAATCAAGTCCTCAACTGTAACTCTTCTGATCTTCAGTAGCGTCCTGGAAAAAACAGAAGATGACACAAATTACTAATTACACAATCATAAACTAACTGTACACATTATCTCAACTTAACTGTGCCCAGCTTTTTTGCTTTCACATTCAGAATTCCCACTGATCAATTCATATAACAATGTTTATGTCAGTCAGATTCTGTTTATTCACTTGTATTTACTTACTTGGACTATAGGAACGGGATCTTGATCGCGATCGGTATCGACTATAATAAGGCGATGGTGATCGTCTCCTTTAAAGGAAATTAAAAAAGAAACCAAACAACATCCATTATGAAAGAAGCCTTATTCACATCACTTCTACAGAACAGAACCACTTCCTTAGCACTGAAAGACTTGGCCTGCATGAATGATTTCTGCTTTATTTGACTGTGGCTTATGGTTATTTAACAAATGCTTTTATATTTCTCTATTTGATGTGTTTAAACTCTAAGATATTCCCAGACAAAGAATTTAATAAACTCTCACTAGCCTTACAAACACATGAAGTGCTTTTCCAGATGCCTACAATTCTTGTTGAACAACATTCTCTGAAACCAGATAACTTTCAAAACAGCAAGATAGTTATGAAATGTCAAGCATTAAAAATCCCATCTACAAATAATCCCTTTTTAAACAGCAGTGTATATCAGCTGTCCCTGGTTCTATATACAGCATAGAAAAATGAGTTCCCTTTTTATCTGTCCACTTGATTCCTGGGATACATGCTCTACACCTCCTTCACATAGCAAAATTAACCCCCTGCCCAACAGAAAAACCAAATTACGTAAACACTGAAGATTCTGACTACTTCAATCCCATAAAATCTAAGGGAATGAGGCTCTAACACATAACAGGCACATATGCAGAATACTGCTACAAACTGAATAGTATGCTTTGTCATCTAACTTTCCAACAAATCCACTGATACAAAAATGAAATAAAGATAAGGTACCTGTATCTGTAGTCATATTCTTCGTATCTGTCATATCCTCTGTCATACCCCCTATCATAATATGAGTCCCGGCGACGACCTGCTCCACCGCCACCACCTCCTCCACTGCTATTAGGGGAAGAGAAAAAGCAAAAACAAAACCCCCTTTATATATCTACTCTCCATCTTGAGTTAAATTATTAGATAAATAAATATAAATTATTTAAAATATTTTTAAAAGTGGTCTTGTAGTAAATCAGACACTTAAGACTGTATCACAAAATTATGCAAAGAAAGTATTTAAATAAAAACCTTCCAAAATTCCTAGAAAAATGAGGGATTTAATGCTAATTCCCATCAAAATCAAAGTCAAATGGGCACCTCAGTATTTCAGCAGGTTAAGGATACATTAATTAATCATGCTGGATATTATTTTCTATTTACACATCATTATTTTTATAAATTAAAATATAATAAACTACAGTACGATTTAAGAGTGTACGTGAACCACAGTACAGCATTCTTCATATTAGTAATTTCTTCAACCAGAATCCAGCATTCAGTTTATATCCACTGAACTTACTGTGTTGGCCTGCCCATGTAGATGCCTGGGGTGGGTGTATGTGCTCTTTTGGTGATTGAATAATCCACTCGAATCCTCCTGCCATCCAGCTCCATTCCATTTGCATGCTCCATCGCCTGCAGGAGAGACAAGGAACAGGGATGTGAAATCTGCAACCTACTGGTAACTATGGAAGGTTATGTACAAACACATTATTTTCCACCAGAAAAACAAGCCTGGAACTTGTCTTGTTTAGACTGGTTACTAGTGCCCCACTGTGGCGACTGGCTCATCTCTTGTCCCCATGCCTGTCTGTCGGTGGTGTTACAGGACTGCACTGGGGCGCTGAACTAATGCAACTCTCAATCCCTTCTTAAGGGAGCACAGGCTAACCACTAACACAGCCGCTCTCCCTAGACTTTATCTTCTACCCATCTGAAAGGTAAACTAAAAGTCAAACCAGCTTTTTCCTGGAAACTGCATCTTTCCTACCGCCGCCTCTGACCCAGAGGGGACGGGCGGATTCAAAAGCTGTGCAAAACACTGGCTTCCTGTAGGGTGCATATGGCCGGATTACTGCTCGTCGGCTGCCATTTCATGCTCTCCCAGCCTCCTGCCATCTCCCTTACAAGGACCTACTTCAGCAGAGCTTAGTAAAATGGCGGGTTCAGCCTACATGGATACCTAATTACAACCTTCCTCCCCACTCCCTCTCACAATAGCAGCTCGCTTAAGCGATACACACAAGGGTCTGCGCTCAGACGCCCGTGCCTTCAGAACTGCCCGCAGCCCCTGCACGCACTCACTGGGTGTTCCAGCCCCAGCTTCTCCACTCTGAGAATCAATACAATGGCCTTTCACAAACTCAAACCACCAAAGCAAGTTTTTCAATGGATCACAGCATACTTTTGAGACTTACATTCATGCAAATGTAACCTAAAAACCCAAACCTCAATAAATCCACAACACTTAATTTTAACAGCTAATGACGGACTTGAAAGGATTTTTTAAATTTAGCTTTTTGAATTTTAATAGCTTTTGTTATCTGCTTCAGGACCCCTGAAATACCAACACACACCACTTACTTCTCAACACTAAGCACAGCACGTAGTCCAATACACATTATTTTAATTTTTCATGTGTGGATAAGAGACACTGATACAATCTTGAGTTAAAGATTGTATCAAGTGTCCATAACCACTTTGCTATTTTTTACTGCAAAAAACAACATACAACCTCAAAACATGAAGGTGCCTCTAAGAAGAGAATTTTTTTTCCTTTTTAATAATGAAACATTTATTCAAACATCTTAATTTTAACAAGAGCCTTACTAAACTTACATACAAATCATAAAGAAGATACAGAAACCTGAAATCCATATGATTTAACTGTTGTGTCCAAACTCGAGGTGACTGATGATCACAGATGTATTTATTGAGAGTGAGTTTGTATTTTGGTAATGCTGTTTGTGTCCATACTATATCGCCACCTAGTGATTTGTGTTCCCGTACAAGAAGTAACTACATTAGCCAACAGCAAAGAGCATTCCAAGTCTTTCAACATACACTCAGGTATATTTTGTGACTAAATCACGTTCCTCAGCTTTAGTCTTCTAGCCTTAACACCTTTTTTTCCCACAAGGATTATGTAAATGAAAATAAATCCGTACATGCATCCTAGGAAAGTATGTGTGCACAAGCCTAACAATGAAGGCTGCAAATATCTGACTGAAAAATTACCTTCAATGATGAAACACATCTTTCTGGAAATGCAGCAAATTAAATTATAAGAAATTGTCTGCTGCATGGCATTTTCAAGTCCAGTCAACAACTTCCAGAATAATAAACTTAGCTGACAAGAAGCCACCTCAAATCCAGAACATCTGGCATGTTTGTCTTATTTGGTTAAGCAAACAAAAACCTCTTCCAGAGGAAGAGTTCTTTGACAGAGGGAGCAGTACAGAGAAGACCAATATAACAGCAAGAGAAATTAAGAACTAATTTTGAGAGTTGCCTGTTTGTTTTAGAAGTACCAGGAAATGTGTTACATTTCAGTGGATAAAGATCACTGTTACCAGACTGCGCAGAACTCCTGATATGCTGGTCATAATTTCTAATGTCCTACCAAATATTAAAACATTTTCTTTTAACAGCAATTATCAACTAAAAATTTTTAAAATAAAGAAAATCTTTACTAGATAGACAAGAACAAAAAAGCCTCTTAATACTTCTGACTGCTTCCCCAAATGCAGGAAAGCCAAAACCTACAATTAATAGTACAGATCACTCACATTCAGTAATTAGAAACTGGAAATTCCTTCTAAAGAGGTTCCCAGATTCTCTGCACTACTCTTAACATGCACACCTCAGGTACTGAAGTACTTAAGCTGACATTATTAGGTAAGGACTGCTGCAAGATGACAAAAAGCTCTCTCTGAAAACTCATGTTCATGTAACTGATACAACAGTATTTCTTTTGTATGAAGGATGTAAAAATATTTAAGTGATCGTAATCACTGGCATTTCTGTGCTTTATTGAAAGTTAAAGTAGTTTACAAGAAAAGTTTGGATTTTACAGTCTTATTGCATGTCATATTCAAAACAAATTTCAGTTTCCTTTTCTTGCTGGTTTTGGGTGTGCATGATTGCCATGTTAAGAATATTTGAGTGTCAAAGAGAAAAAATTGCATATTCTCTCTAATAATGCTGAAGACATTCTCAAATACCGTTTAAGATGATGAAATGAAACTTTAAAAAGAAAAAAAATCAAATAATACTGGGGTTTAAGACACACAATGTCCTCTTAGGAGTCTTAATTGTCAACAACCTATTTTTATTACAACTCAGATTATTTTCCAAATATCTGAATGTCGTTAAAAGACTTGCATGGCTTTTGCAAGAGGACAGCAAGCAAGAACACAGCATTCCTACAAACATATAATATTAATTCTGGTAGCAAATTGTACAGAAAACTTGATTTTTGTAGGCTAGAATACACACCTACATGTTTGCAGTCAGAAAACAGGACTAGGACTGGGAATGGCATAGGTTCAATCTTGGATCACATTTTTAAAGTTTTAGAGTTTTAAACCTTCAGCAGACTATCCATTATAAGAAAACTGATTATCTATAAGGTGTTAGTTTGACAAAATGAACTGCAGTTCCTGAACTACAGTATCATCTCCAGTGGCTCAAAAAAGTCAGACAGCATTAAATTTAAGAAAGAGTTCAATGTCATTTGATATTTAATGCAGTATGTAATGTTTTCTACATGTATGACCAATTAGGTAGATACCGTAAAACAAGTTTGGAAACACAACTTTTAATTAAATGCACAAATTTACATGGGTGGTTTGTATTAGTTAATCAAGAACCCACTAAAAATATTAAAGACTTTCAGTCTGGATAACTATTTCAATAACTTTCAATCACTACAAAGTTAGCAACACACAGATTGAATATGCTTAAATAGTCAAACACACAAACAGTTTATACTGTAACTTATCTTGAAAATGTCTTCTCATGTTTTAAAAATAACTACATAAGGTACTAACTTTTTTTTTTTTTTCCTCCCCTCACTGTAGTTTTGGGGGTTTCTTTGTTTTTTACTGGAAGTTCTTCTCTACTGCATTTAATGGCACTGATAAAAACATCATCTCCACTCCATCACAAGTACAGCAAGGGATGAAAGACACAATGGATTAGATTCCCCCCTCCAGTAATCAATTACTCATTCAGTTTTGGATTTACTGAGAACAACTGAAAGAAAATTCTGGAAAAAATCTGACAGAATTAATAAAGAAATTACGAAACTCCTCTTTTTACACTTGCTGCAGTCTGCCAAGTTAAATTCAAATGTCCATTTCACTATTGAACATTCAATTTACATTCTCTCTAGTTTGAGATTTCAATGGTAACTTTTAAACATATACAATTATGAGCTTCAGCATTGATAGATTCAATGTATTATCTTTAAAGCATACTTTAGAACTTCAGAGTCAAGAACTGCAGTATTTTAGAGAACCAGAATGAAGCACTGGATGTTCTTGCAAGTATTAGCAATTTCATGGTATTTCAGAGTCTCCAGAAGTCTGTAACTTGTAATTGCAAACATTTGAGACCTTCTAGCGCTCTTTTCTGGTATATCAAGGGTTGTTGTTGATAGCATGAACAATACTTAAATAATTTCTTCAAAAAGCCAAGGGAGTTTTGCTCAATAATGTTGGTTCTAAGCTAGTCTGTTTGCACCACAGATTGTATGTTTTTCAGGTGGAACTGATGAACTCTCTTATTATTCTGGTCTTTGGCAACTGAATGATACTTGTTTGTGTTGATTGTAATGAACAGCACTTCAGAAAATGGTTCTAGAAAGATGCCCAAAACTTTTTGAAGAACATCTAACTAGCATTAGAAACTTCCATTGCCAACAGCTGCTGTAGCTGATGCTTCCTAGATGAGTTCCTCCTACAGACAGTACATTCACAGTAGCCTCAGTTTAAACAACTAACACTTCACAGTCTGAGCTACTGAAAAGCTGGTTTAGTAGCATATGACGTCCTTGGTAACTGTACTAAGAACCACATCCCTAGAACAGCCAGCACTTTTCACTCATGATTTTCTCAACTTACGGTTAAGCAAGACAATCAATTCCTTCCCCATCAACCTAATTTTTTTCTCATCATGGTAAATAGAAGTTTGTAATCCTCTTAAATGCAGGAGGAAAATCCTTGTGTGATGGGCATATGAATATCCTCTATAATTTAGTGAAAACATTGCAAAACAACATTACAACACTGGCTGCATGCCAGCGTTGCCAGTACTGCGAACTATGTAAGAGTGTGAGAAACAAGTCTTGAACAGGTGTTTACAGATATTGCCCTTTGCATGTCGCACATGCAAAGAACTTGCACATCCTGACTTGGAAAAGGGTGGCCAAGACAAGACATGGCACCATGTAAGGCAAAAAAGCAATACCAAGTATTTTAAAAAACCAACAACTTCTTGAAATAAAACAGCTTTACAATAAACGAAACCCACTATACCCATCCTAAAAACAGGTACATAATGACAGAAGATTTTCCAACAGGCTTTGAACAAGCTGAGAGACAAGAACATTAGCACAGCAAATCCTCAGGTTTCCATACAATCATTCTACATTCATCAGCTATTTCCCAGACATCTATCAGTCCTTGACATTTACTGCCTGCTATCACACTCTGAACTATAGACAGTGTTCACAAGCATCTTCAGTATGGATCAAAACCTAATAATCCAGTTGAGCATTATTTGCAAACACTATACCACTGCAATAAAAGACATCTGATGGAAAAGGAACCTTCTGTCTAATCATGAAATTTCATCTTAACCTCAACAGAGTTTCAAACAGAATAGAACATATTCTACATGAAATCTCCTGGACTGGACTCATGCTTTGAAAACTTCTTTCTTGGTCCTGCTACAGTGGAATGTCTGAAGCTACTGTGATGCTTTGGCAGCTTCTCTGTGTAGTAGTTACCAAAAGCTAAGCTTCTGTTTGTCTTTACAATCAAGACGTTTATCAATAGCTAACAACAAGGCTGCTATGGTTTCGTAATCTGAAATTGTAAAATGGTTCAAGTAAAAATAAACTCTACAACTGCCCCTTCTGTATTTTTAGGACACTGAGAAGTATCACCTTCAAGAAATGCTATTTTACATTGTCTTTGGAGTTCCAATACATCAATCTAGTTGACAACTCAAAATGTCTTTACCACCATATGGACACTGCACAACTTGGTTTCAGAATCATGACTCACAGCAACATTTAAACTAGTTCAATTCAATAATTGATCCAGTTTGTAAAAGTGGTAACAGAGATGAAAAAGATCCTGAAAGATTTTAGCTGCATGAGAATCCATGCACAACTGACAATGATCAATCTTTAAGTTATGACAGTTTAAACACAACTACTCACAATTAATTTGATGTAAAATTTTAGTATTACCTGTATTTCAGAGCATGCCTGCTGAGAAACTTCCCTGTGCTAGCCTTCTTGAAGGGTAATAGCAGAGATAATGAAAAATCCTCATTTTTCTCCAGAGTTCTACTCTCATTTAATCAATCTTTAAAAGGGCTGGAATTTAGTTCAACATATCATCTCTTTATTTAGATGTTTAGGATGCTGAAGGTTTGGGATTATGGTTAGTGTTTTTTGTTGGCTGGGGTTTTTAAAATTATTATTTTTTTTAATAGGAGTTAGTTACTCAGAACAGAAGTAATTCAAGTGTCATTGCTTTTGTGCATACTCAGCTTTTCAAACTATCTTCCAAACACAGAATTATTACATTTCTTTCAGTGTTCTCATACAGGGCCCATCACAAAATTTCACACCTACAGCTAGCTATCTATATGTCTGTATATACCTACATTTATATATCTCCCCTTTTTCTACACTAGCTGCCACTCACTACCATCTTCAAATCTGTCCTCAACCTTCATGAAATAAGTCAATTGAACAAGTTTTGATTCTGTCTTTCTTGCCAAAATATTTCAGTTATTTAAATTCCAGATGTTGGGAGAGTTTGCATCCTTTCCCCCTCTTCAGGCACCAACCCATAGGAAAAAAGAAAAATGGGTTTAATTACATTCCAAATTATTTCAGTTCCTGCTTAAGGCCCAAATCTTTATTTCTGTATTTCTGAATGGAAGCAACATCCCTTTTTGTTTTCCTTTGCATTCCAGTTTCAAAGCATCTGCCAAAACAGCTTTATACTAAATAAATTACTTCATGCTATTTACATGGAACATTTTAAGAAATGCATGGTATCGAGCATGACCATTGCCTGTGGCAACCAGGAAAAAAAATCTGCCTCTAAAGACATGTGAAGCTGTAAAACAGACAAAACTGGTATATGAATTTGCCAAGGAATACTGTGCAAATATTTCAATGTGAAATGTTTTACAAAACAGCTACCTTTTCAAAATCCCAACAAATTCAGTATGCAAAGAAATACAAGGCTAGAAGTTAGAAAAGAGCAGACCATTAAAGACAGATGGATATACAGCTATCCAACTCCATTAACCTCTCTACCAACCTCGCCAACTGAGAGCACAGGAAAATATACAAGGGAAAAGAAGGAAGTTTTGCGTCCTTTTACTTACCTCTATAACCTGCAACAACCACACATATTTACATCTACAAGACTACTCTTCCCAGAAACTGATTCTCAGTTGGACCATACCAAAGTCAAACACAAGTACTAAGTATAGTTTAATCAAGTAATCCAAATACAAGTTTTTTTAATTTAAGTATCATCAAGTAGCATCAGAGTTCTTATTTTTCAGCTCCTGATAGGTTCCAGTGCTGTCATACTCCCTGCCTTCAATGCCAAATGATCTAAAAAGAGAGGAGTTGTATTTAATATGTCCTAATAAATAAACTTAGGAAATGCACACAGAATCAAACAGCACATCTGGCCAAATTTATTAATCCATAAACAAGATTAAGTCTGTGGTTTTGTCCCAAAGAAAGAGATGCACACAATGCAGGCTTAAAGGCATTTTTAGAGAGTGTCTTTACTTTTAATAGCAACTTTATCTACAAATTTCAGTAAATGTGGTAAAGTTCATGGTATAATTACAGGGGTAAAAAAACTACTGCTCATTATATATTGTGGTGAATTGTAACACAGACTGCTGTTCATATTCTTTGATTCTTTCCTTACAGATCAATTATACTAACAACTCACTCTAGCCATTAATAGCTATCTGTTAAACAACCAGGAAAGCAGCAATTGACCAAGGTACAAATCAAGACAAACCCCACTCTTTTTCAAATGTACAATGACATGCCTAAAAGGAGAAAATGCACAGGGAATCTCCAGAATTTTCATTTAGAAAACAATGTAAAACTTTAACTTCCAAAATGTTTCAAAAATACTTTAGACATAGAAGCCTTAATGATTTATTTGCATTTTGAAGTAACAGACTAAAATCAAAGTCCAGTGTTTATTGGCGACTTAATACAAACAGCTTATGCTCAAAATCTGCCCATTCACCTGAACACTGAATTCAAATGCTTCATTTGTTTAGAAGTGCTTGAACAAAATATTTTAAAGCACACCTGAAAAAAGTAGCAAAGCATGCATTTAATTACCTCTTTAGAGTCATCAATTCTTTCAAAATAAACAAAAGCAAATCCTCTTGATCGTCCAGTGCGTTGATCATAAACCACATTGACACCAGTCAAAGGTCCATAACGGGAGAAGACTTCACGTAAATCTCTCTCAGTAGTGTACAAACTGAGACCAAACACTCCAAGACAGGTATTAGGATCTGGATTAGCCTGATAACACAAATGTTAAACTCCAATTAATTTCTGTTTTAAAAAAATATTAAAAATTGAATATTCTTATATAAAAAATTATCAATTATAAAAAGTTCAATATGAAGAAAACTATGCAGGTAATACACAGCTTAACACTTTACCAGTTATCATTCTAATTGTAAGATCGTTTCAAAAAGCAAGCACTTTCAACAGTTTTAACTTTAGAAAAAGCTCCAAGACAAGTTCCTCATGTTGGTAAAAAACTCAGTTGATAAAATTTAGCATTCTAATTTACAGAAAAGCTACAGAACAAGAGGAACACATGTTATTAGTATTTAATACTGAAATTACCAATAAGGAGCAGACACCACACACAAATCTGTGCTGAGAATAGGTCTACCAGCCTGAACTCCCACCTTCAGCCCTTTTGCATGGTCATCATAGGCACTACAGAGTGCACACTGCCTCCAGCTGCCCCCAGTACATGTGGGCGCTTGAGCTCCTAAGCATGGACAACTGCACTATAATCTAGCTTCTACTGAAACTTCCTCCACCTCAGCATTTCCTATCCAATACACTGAAAGTCAATATTTACATTTGCAAATAAATCTTTCCACTTGTAAACTGGATGAAAGGCACCTGATTCTTTCATCTAGAAAGCAACAAGTGTTGAAGGCCAATTCTATGAAATTGTAATCCAAAACTATGCCTATCTCTTCAGCACAAAAATCTCTATCATGATGTGGGATACTTAATAAATTTCACTTGAACTAGACGAAGTCAAATGTCTAATAGTACAAGGTACAGCTTCTCTTTTAGGTTCAAAATTTCTCTACATGCCAGAGAATTTGTATCTAATGCCAAATCCTCTGTAAGAATTATTTTGATCAAAATCAACATTTTTTTCAGTTAGGTGTCTGCCACCCGTGACACTAGATGCAGCAATTTAAAACACCAGCAACAAGCACAGAGATTTAATGTTTCTGCCAAAATAACAACTGGAAGTCGACACAGCTCAAATCTGTGTTTCAGGTAAGTCATCTCTACATAGTAATTTATGCCTCAGAGCCTGCTTTGCAGCCTGATTCAAAGATTGAAAAGGTCTACATCTTCAGTCATATTTTTTTCAGCGCATTTGTTCAGGAACCCATTGTGAAAATAAGACACCTGCACTATTCATAAATCTGAAGTTCCTTTCTTTCCATTTGTCAAAGTTCAAACTTCTGTTTTAAGACGTGAATATCTGCAATTCCTCACTATAGCTGAAGAGCACAAGACCCGGTAGTTTGTAATTCAAATGCTTTAATTATACACATCTAGAAATGTATTTTTTACTCCATATTTCAATCTGATAGTTCAATGGCACTGGCAGCTATACTAATTTTATTACTGGAATCCTGAAAGTATAATGATATCTGTATTTTAAATAATTGTTTGGGTAAATTCCTCCACACATTGATACCTGTTGCCCTTTTTTAACATTCCTCTTACACTTAAATCCTATTAATTTTTCTGAGGCAAGAGAAACACTGAGATCAGTCTGCAGACCCTAAGTGCCAAGTGACAACTACATCACCACTGGAAGGCCTAAACTGATTGTGGAGGACTAAAGGGCAGCTTCTGTATTAGGTTTTTGCACTGCCTCCCATCAACCCAGTATCAAGCCCTCTCTATAAGAAAAGAGCTGGCAAAATTGCTCTCCAATTTTCAACCCCAACCATTCTGTTGTTACAAAGGACACTGGGAGAAATCCCAGAATGACAAGATTAGTATTTTAGATTTTGGTTGGTGTAGCTAGACTTCCTCCAGCTCATACAGAGACACTTCTCATCTACATTTTGAAAGACTTACTGCACCTCCTTTTCACAACTGTAAATTTTTCTAGTCTACCATGAAGATTTACATGCTACCTATAATACAGGGCTTTACTTCAAGGTCAATAAAATTAAATAACCAGAAGCATAAAATCACAAGCAACCTTCAAAATATGCTCTATAAGCAAATAAACACTTGGGAATTTCCTTCTATGAATCCCTCTGGCAATCTTATCAATACATTAAGGTTGCCAGCACACACAGATGTGGTCTCATTTTTGTAAAGGTTACAAATACTTTTTTTAACCGAAAAAAAAAAAAAAAGAAAAAAAAATCAGAACAGCTCAATTTCTATAGCTGACTGATGCCCTTATCACCATACCTGCAAAAGAATATTTTTCAATTAAATTCTACAACTTCCCTGCCAGTTAGTTGGAGGTTCAAGAAGTAAGTGCTCAGCTGTAAGGACAAAGATTGTGCCACATATACCCCCACTCCCACCCAATTCCTGTATCCACCAGTGACAAAACAGCAGGTCAAACTCAGCCTGAGGGTAACCTGGACTACACTGATACAAGCAGCAATTGTTTTGTCGATACTCAGCCTTTTTGAACACGACATACTCTGCTGCCAGTGTGCCTTCTTCTGTTGGACATTGGAGAATGACTACGGCTCCTGCGACGACGGTATTCTGGTGTGTATGATCTGCTTCGAGAACGTCTCCTATGGGAATGAGAATGGGATCTGGAACGAGTGTAACGTCTGTGCGAATGTCTTCTGGACCTGGATCTTCGACAAAGAGAAAGCCTTTAGTCAGGTCATAGGCACATGGTTGTAATTTATTGAACTGTAAACAGTTAAATTTCTAGAGAAAAACATTTTTTTAGCTGGTGTCAACAATATTAAACCTATCAAACTTCTTCTATCTTGCACATCTAAAGATTGCATGGATCTCTGCTTGGAAGCACAATTTTTAACTCTTTGAGAGTACTTCTGGCATGCATTGAGGATTATATTCATAACAGTTTTCAGTAATTTCAGAGCTTAAACTTACATCAGCTTGGCTGCTTATCTAACTAACAACTACACAATGGCACAGAAAGTAGATACTTCACACTGCAAAGTACTGTTTTGAATGAAAAATTGAAATATCTGGCAGGACTACAGTGCTGTAATATCTACACGCAAAGTTTGTCTGGGCATGAAGATTACTCCAGACAAAAAAAAAAAAAAAAAAAAAAAAAAGCAAACCCCAAACATCTGCTCTATCACTTCTTCGCAAATCATCCGGCTAAACATGGTGAGAAGAGAAACTAGCATTACTTGAACTTGGCAATTCAGAGCACAGCAACTCTTTCAGTTGCTCTGGTATAAAGTGTATAGAGAAGATTTATTACTGATCGCTCCCAAGAAGTGGGAAGGAGAAACAATGTAAGACTATTCCTCTCTCCCCTCTAATGCTACAAATGGTGTTTTTTGTTTCTCTAGAGGTTGTTAAAGAAAGATACAGTAGCTCTCCCCATTTTCATCAATACGTCGCTAAAAGGGAATAGAGAAGAGAGGTAGTTATTTTTGGGATATTTAGAGAAAAAAGCCCAAGATATTTCTCTTCTGATCAGGCTCCATCAGAACTGAAACCTATAAAGCTTTACCTTCACAATTCCATACTTGGGGTAGAGAAGGACAAAGAAGACAAGTGCAGCATTGAAAAATGAATTAAAATCTTAAAACTCTCATAAATGAGGAACACACCCAATTTAAGACATAGTCTTTTATTATTTTTTACACCTCCAATGAAAGAATGTCAAGAACATTCACAAACACTGTTTTCCAATATTTCCAAGAGTTAGACAGCTTACTCTTTTTATCTAACCCCCATGCCTTGGCACCAGGTCTCACTTGACTTTTTTTTTTCCCCCTAAAGGACAGGTCCACACAAGAATTCCCTCATACACAATTTTGGGAGAAGGAAGCAGACAAAATTGAAATGCAATCAATTCTCTCTCTTCTGGAAGAGAGAAATCTACATATTTTAGTTGTGATTTCTACCTTACTACTTCTATAGTATTTTCTCTATTCACACCCATGAAATAATTTCCCAGCTTTGTCCACCTATATGAGCACAAACAGGCAAATTAACATATCCGTGTTAATACATCCCAAAAAGTCTGTATTTTTTACAATGGGGAAAAGAAACGTCATCAACCTACCAAAATAACAGCAGCAACACGGAGCTGACATGAATAACTTTCTGAACATACCTTGATTTTGATCTTGACCTAGAGTGAGATTCAGAATGTTTGGAAGCCCTCGATGGACTGCGAGATCCTGACCTGCTCTCTGATTTTACACGAGCAGGACTCCCAGCTGGAGACTTTGACTGGGAGCGAGACTCCTAACAAAAAAGACAGTATTAAAAATGGTATTGGTTGTGTAAATGCCTAACTCCTAACATTTAAAGTACAGTAATTCTATTATATTGATTGCTCCTGAAAAACAAATGGTTAGGCAATACCCTCCAAAACAAATTTCATTTTGCTAACCCACTGTTAATATTGTATGCTTGCCTCAAATAGGTCCCTGCTTGAACCAGATCACCAATTCTCTATTAACTAAGTAATCATGCAAATTCATCTACAACTTGATCATACAGACACTGGAACATAAACCATACATTTACTTAACCTAGGACCCATTCATTCTTCCAGATTCTTTTAATTCTACTTCACTCTTGCTTTCTACTTTTCTTCATTCTTCATTGAGTTTTTCATTTTTCATACTTCGTGTATTCTTCCCCAATTCAAACAATTCATTATAGCCTTAAAAAAAATTCAAGTGCTTCTATCTGACCAATCTTCTGTTCAATTTTTTCCCCCATTCAATTTTAATTTTCTGATCTTTAATACTTTTCATTAGCCTTCTTTTATCTTGATTTATCTTCCACATTCTTGGAAAAAACTCTTCAATTTCTTCACGAACATTAACCTTAATGGAAAAAGAACATTTAGTATATTTAAGCACGTGGGGATTATAAAACTCTGCTGGAGTTCAGATGTTATCTACCAAATTGAAAAGCCAGCAGGTAAAGTGCAAGAAACTATTTTATAAAACAACTTTAAAAAAAATATCTTTAAAACTGTATAAGTGTCTATGTTCTAACAATAAGCTTACTGAGTTCTCAGTGTTTTACTGTATTTGCAAAGCTACCCTCCTCCCCTCTGAGATTTTTTTCATAAGATACATAGATACACTAAAAACTAATTAGCACAAATATATTGAAGTGTTGATATCAGTGATTCCCCCCACTAAAATAATAACTATGTGCTTCTCAGTATTAAATATCCCAAATTTTACTCCTACAGATTACTAAAACACTCAATTCAACAAAATGCCAAAGATTTCCAGTCAAAACCTATCTATGCACATACTTACTCGCATAATACACGCACAATGGTATAAGTAATATAAATTATTATTCTTCCTACTTTTTCTTCCTCATTGTTATCCTGTTTTCCTTACATAATCCATACAAACTAAGATGTAGAACCGTACAGTTAAAGCAATCCAATAGAAGTAAAAACAGGAGGGGTTTTTTTCTTGCATGGTAAGGCACACAAGAGAAAAACTAGGAAAACAAGCAAACAAAGAGCAGGTTAGGATTTCCTCACATTTTATAGTGTACAGCATTTCTAGGGAGCTTAGCTATAAAAACCCCTACAGAACAGTATGCTATATACATTTGTAACTTTACAAAATACTTAATGAAAAAATGCATACAAAGTTCCTCTCCCACAGGTGTTACATTTCATGTTTATTTGCATGATTTCTCCTCCTGACTGTGCCCACAATTTTTTCTCTTTCTTACTCTACCTATGCCCAGATTTGCAGTTTCTTTTGCAGTTAAAATTCTTCACTACCTTGGGCTGGAGTTCTTTTTCAAAGGATGCTCTCTTCATAATTCAAGACATGAAATTCACCAGAAATGGAACCTAAGCGGCTTCTTACTAACAGCTATTGCAACCACACTACCATTCCACTTTACCTCAATAAAAAGGATAAAGGACTCATGGAGAATGAGGACTCACTTACTACGACGATAGGCCTGCCAAACTTTAACAATGAAGGCCAAATTCAAAGCTTGGTTGTGAATGGCAGACCACATATCCCTTATGAAGATGGCTATGTACTGAGCCAACTACAGGACTTCACTGAAATAAATGATGTGCATGCCTTTAAATATTACCAAATTCGGTGGTTTAACATTTGAAATCCACTGTTTGCAATAAAGAAAAATGTTTCTTATAACCACTAACATGATTTTTTTATCACCTCGCCTCTTTGTATTCTTCAATGTCTGACAGCCTCTTAAATTCTTCTCTTTATAACTCACCCCTTGCAAAAATTGCCAATTTCTCTGAGAACTATCTGTATTTCTCTCCCTAGTGAAAATGATCAGTAATAAAGAAAAACATTCAAAGTCACATCAGATTTAGAAAACACCCTCCAATAAAACAACAAAGAATTCACCCTCCTCAGACACTCCTTCATAAGGATACTGCATTGTCCATGCTTTTTGCATCTGAAAGATCAATTTTTGAACAAGAACTCTAAAAACTTGAACAAAAGCAGCCCCCCATCCCACCCCCAGATCCTGCACAATCTAGAAGTGTTGGGAGGGGCCAAAAATACCACGGACACAATCGCTCTCATACAATGTAGAAATTAGCTTAGTGTTCTTAGCTATTCAACTGAAGCATCTTACAATACCACCCATAGAGTCTTTAATAATATCAGCTATGACACCATATCTATATAAAATTGACAAAAGCAAATATTACATAATTTCACACAGGCTAAGTCCTTTTGAAAGTATCTGTTTAAGACCCTTATGGGCTGTATTCACAAATACACAACTTGAAAAGTGAAGTGACAGAGGGGACCACGTAAATTCTTAGAGATTTCAAACTTCCTCAGCCAAGTAACTGTGGATGTAAACTGCAGCAGAAGAGAGATTACCTGATAGCAGTTGCACACTGTCACTGGTAAGCAACTACATCTTCTCTTCTAATGCAACACACTTCACCTAGTTACAACTCCTACAATGCCTCTAAAGGAGACTAAGAGAATCACAATAACCAGCAAAAGTTTAAGGACTTAAGGACAATGCTGAAAAAGTTCCCAGTAATATTTGTATCAGTAAAACTACAGGCAGGGATTAAGGGATTCAGAGCTTCAAGGAATCACAAAGAGAGATTTTAAAAGAATTTTTCTTCTCTACTTACCACTATAATTAAACAATTAGCAGGCTGTATAATAGTCTACACATAGACCAACCCAATTGTAATTCAAAAACTACTTATATCCATTCTGCAATACATATGACAAAAGTTTTCAACACTCTTCATATGCCATCTTTAACGTAAGAAACCAGAAAACTCTATAACCCCAAAGTACTAAAATACCTCAATTTTATACCAGTCTTAAAGCAACCTATACATTCTCATCTTAGCTGTGTTATTACCACAGAAACTAAATATTGTGTAGGAGAGAAAAGACTAAAATTGCACTTTGGATCCTCAGCACTTTCTTATCTTTCTGTTCTAAAGATCCTTAGTCATTTAAGGGCCACAGATGAGACTCAGTGTAAACTCAGTTCCTCATCCCACCAGCTTCCTACAGAACAGTACCCATCTTAATGCCTTGGGCTTCATTATGCAACTGTCCAGTCACTACTTTCACCCTTACAAGCTTGTAGGCAGATAATTCACTATCCCCATGTCAAACTATCTAGATTTGCTGCAACTAGAGTCTGCAGAAAAAAGAAACAAGAGCTTTGTAATATTCTTCAGATCAGACTTCCCTTTCAAAAAAAACCCTGCATCTGCCAGTAACAATTTTCCCAGGAAACACCTCTCCCCAAAACACCAAAAAAAACCCCACCCACAAAAAAAAAAAAAACATACAACCTCCCCCCTGGCAATAATAATTACCAAAAAAAAAAAAAAAAAAAAAAAAAAAAAAACCCCCAACCAAAATTGTAACAGTGTGCTTCTTCAGAGTACGATGTAGTGGTTTCCTCAAATACACGCCAGGAAATGGGACTAATGATTCACCAGGAATTGGAACTTGGAGCCAAAATTGTAGACAAATACAAAATCTAAGGTTTGCAGCTTCACTTACTGATTCTCTGGATAAAATGCACAGCTAGAAGCATTTTAAGAGAGTACTGAAGAGTATTTTTAATCCTTGTTACCTTCCTTCATCCCAGGAAGTAACAAACCAAAGTGACATGGAAAGGATCTCTCCTCCTTACCCATTACTCCACGATCATACAAACCCAGACACTGAACAACTATCAACAACTTTGGATGATCCATCTGAGCCAGGCATCAGTTCACATATTTTATGTGAAAAACTGTGAAACTGGTAAAACTGTTTAACTGATCAAAAAGTTCTATCTACCACTTAAATTACTTGCATTTTTCAAAAAAAGTCCTACTTTCCAATGTAACTACTATTTAAAAAGCATTTAAAACACTTCTATGCAGAGAATTGCAGAAGTCTTGAAAAAGTATTCTTTCCATTTTCTACCCATCAAGGGAAGGTATGATAAAAAACATGGGGGGGGAACCACAACAAACAAAACAAACAACTGATCAACCAACCAACCAACCCTTTATCAAACCAACCAAACAAAACAATCCCCTGTTCTTTCACACTACTCTTCTGTCCTGAACTTGTCATGCCCTACCCTCTCACCATACAGTTTCAGAATATGACTGAAAAGGTTATCAAAATTTAGAGATGCTAACTAAAAATAATGTAACTTTAAACTAAGCTTTCTATAGCAAAGCATAGAAAATGTAAAAAAAAAAAAAAAAAATCCAAAAAAACCCCAACATCCAAACATTAAATCACAGAAATTTCAGGAGAAATTCATTTGACCTGGGGTGAAAAAAAAGGACAGAACAAGTGGTCTAGCAATACCTTCCAAAAACCTTGTTAAAAACTCCTACCCAAACTAAAATAATAAATGAAGTCGAACTCTATTAAAAGGGGACAGAAAAATATAAGCAGTCAAAAAAGAAACATGAATTTAGAATTTTATCCAGCCCACATTTGCTGGATAAAACTATTAAGCTAGTGACATCTCACTTATGAGGACAAGACTACGTTTTGGCAGGAATCTACCAACTTTCCTTGAAACTCAAAAGAGAAGTTAAATCCTTTTTGCTTCATACTGTGATCTGTCACTATACTAAAAATAAAATTTATCCCTTAATTAGCTAATCTTCTATAAATATTACAATAGCACACATAATAAGCTTCTGTGTACAAAGTATCTTCTAAGTTGCTACCTAGAAGACATGGATATTTTAAAAGTTACTAACATAAGCAAACAATGTATTTCTCAATGATCCCACTAACAAAAAGAAAGAAAAGGCTTCAGCAGTAAACTTTTTTAAAGTTTACAAGCTCATCTCACTGAGGCTTGAAAATGCACCTATTCAGGGAGGGTCCTGTAGTCATTCCTCTACCACACACGGAAGACAGTAAAAATAATTTGTGTTCAAAAGGAGCAGTCTTCCCAGCTGACAAGGTCCAGAACAATGCAGAATTTAATAAGCTTGATTAAAACAATAAAAATTAAAAATCAGACTTCCAGAAAAACTCTCCCACATTGTCATTAGACACTGCAGGGTGATCACAGCACTCACCATGCGAATGCAGAACCCCTGAGTACTAGCATCCATTGTGCTTGTGTTTGAAAAGGTGTGGGAAGCAGCATTCCTTCCTCTCCAAAGAGGTGGCAGAGTGCCACTGCAGGAGAGGTGGAATACAATAGCTAAGCGAGCCGACCCTGACACCGTTGGGGTTTTTTTTTGCCAAAGAAATCATCTCAAAGTTGATCAGCTAGGTATTTCCATATGCATCTAGGTATTTTGCATCCAAACTTCATGAACCAAATAGAAGGCACTTTCACAGCTGAACTAATCCAAAAGCCACTTGTGTACCTACGAAATATGCCTGCTTCCTTCAACAGTATGGGTCACATGCAAAAGCATGCATACCTTCAAGTGCTCTAGGAAACATCTAAAGTTGCACCACAGATTGAACACCAGATAAATAATAGCCTATAAAAAACAACAAAAATATGAAAGGAAGAGTTGCCTGCCATCTGACAGAAATAAAAGATTTAAAAAAGCCTCATTTGTCCAATCTGCTCACAAAAAGCATTCAATGGTGATAAAATACTTTGATGTTTCCAAAACCAAATCACTGGATGAGAAGCACAATTTAAAATCTTTTTTTAATTCTTAATGACCATAAACTTAGCTCTATACCATCCACTGTATTTTTAACTCCTCTGTCAATTTCTAGTAAATCACCATGCTTGAGGAGGGGGCTTTCTTCTGTTCAACAGCTACATTCTTAATAAAGAACTTAAGTTGAAACAAAACTACACAAAAAAAGAGCAGATGTCGATTAGTCTGAGCATATTTAATTAACATGTGCTTTAAAAAAAAGGTCAATAAAGGAGTGAGTTCAAGAAGGAAAAGCTCTACACTGATTTCACACCCAATACTTTAGAAATGGTAGCTCTAAAGAGTGCAAACGAAGCAATTTAATTGAAAGTTATTTCCATAATTATTAATGGCCTGTTCATTAGTTAATATGATTTTAAAATGATAAATTAGAGGCAAAGCACATACAGTATCTTACTGTCGATAAAATTAGCATTTAAAACAATTCTGATGATACTCAACATTCACTGAAGTGCTTTTGGGACAATATGCATTTACACAGATGAAATATAAAAGGCCTAAAACTAAAAACACCCTTACTCCTTCAGCATTCAGTTTTTAAAAGCACATCACACTAATAAGCACTTAAACTGACAGAGGGTGGAAGAATTGAAAAGGGTACTCGGAATTCTTATTTGTGCCAAATTACACAAAAACGGGTTCTTTACAAACTTTCTTCCAGTTTCTGCAGCTCTTTCTCCCAATAAAAACTTCTGCTTTACTCTCAGGGCTCAGTGCCTGGATGTAGCAAAGTGAAGCATCAGGACATTCAGTGCCTGACAGAGTCCTATCCAATTGGGAATAGCAGTCTAAACACTACAGCCTCAAAGTTAACATGTGCCTAATTTTATGCCTGTGAGCACTTTCAGTGGAAATGAAAAAGAAAACATTACTCTGAAATATAATTTCTTATTTCAAGAATTTTAGTACCATCACAACAAAGCAGTATTACTGAAGAAAATAAAAGGCTTACAAATGTTCTTCAGTAGAACCACAAAATCCTCAACTAGAAATCAATTACCTGCCATTATGCTCAGTTATGCCATATTGATTGAGAATTTTCAGTACAGGGAGCAAAACCAAAAGAAGTTTTCCAAATGAAGACTCAACATAAGTCAGCAGTTCTTTTCAATAGGTAAATTTTCCATCACAAAAAAAAAAAAAGGAACAACTGATAAGCAGAAATCACAGAAGCTTCTACTGTAAGACTTCAGACTTCATGTACTCTCAAAACATTTTACCTGTATATTTGGGAGGAGGTGGTGTGCAGAAATACTGAAAGTAGAGAGCTGGAACAGCTTTGTAACATAAACAACAGACCCGTCAAAGGGCCCAATACCAATGTTCTGACAACTAACCTAACATAATCTCTTTCCTAACAATAATCCACACTGGGAATACAGACAAGAAAATAATCCTTAAAGACAGGAACCTTGACTGCAAAGTGGGAGATTACCGTCATCTTAAAAAAAGAGAAAAAACGAACCAAGCATACTCATTGCTCAAGTTTCTGAAACTTAGTTGTTTCCCCTTCAGAGATGTGTTTATTTACCCCAATACTGCTTACTTCACAGCCACCTTTTGTCCAAGCAATCAACACAAGGGCAGATTTTGTTTACCTCATGCGAGGAAGCAGCAGCAGTTATTGTATAACTAGGTAAAGAACTTGCAGCCCATGGGTTTTTTTAATCACCACAAAAATGGCAACAACAGTAATGCAAAAGTAATTTTTGGAAGGTAATTCCATTCTTCCAAGACTTATTGCTTGCTTCCCCAGACAGTAGGTACATATGTAACTGCAAGGCTGCTGTCACTGGATCATCAGAGAGAGTCACCAAGAGGATGCTCAGGAGTTCTTCTAAAGAATCTCTTAAAAGGACAAACAAAAAGAAAACCTCTGCAAAATTAAAAAAAAAAAAAGCAAATTATGATGGAGGGGCACACATTTCCTTCCTGTTTCAAGCAGCTTCTAATTCCTGCTTGCCTTTATCATCACTAAAAATAAAAAGAAACAAAACCCACAAAAATATTGAAAATGGAAGGGACCTGTCACACGTGTACATGAAAACCCGCAGCCATCAGAGGGAAGACACAGGCCTAACGAGGTTACAAAGCCACAGCAGCTCGTTCGAAGCCTTCAACTGCACGATCGATGACTTTCAGTGGTTTAATGACGGCCGGATCTCCCCAGTGGCGGGAGGGGGCCCGGCCCGAGGCAGCTCCTGAGCCAGGAGAGACCGCTCACCTCGCACAAAAGGACGCGGGGTCCCTCCTCTTTCGGGCGGGAGGAGGCCTGGGCGGCCCGGCCGGGGGAGCGGGAACGGGCAGGGCAGCGAGCCCCGGGCCCGGCGGGAAGGGAGCAGAGCAGCGGGGAGGAACCCGGGCTACAGCAGCGCTGCTCGCACAGGATCAGCCTGCGCTGGCTGGGCAGGGGCCGGCCCGCGGCGCTGGGACCCGGGGCGCGGAGAGCAGCGAGCGTGTGAGGGAGAGACGAGGGCAGCGGAGAGGGACGCGGACCGTCACCCACGGCCCAGGCAAGCCTCGGGCGCCTGAAGGAGCCATTTTAGAGACAACCTGCGCTGCCTCCACCTCCGCTAGGCCCGAGGACGCCGAGTGTCGCCACCCGCCGCCCCCGGGTCCGATCCCCGCCTCGACACGGCCCACGCAGGGGAGGCCACT